GAGTATTTCAACCTATTAACAACCATAGACAATACTAAAGAAAGACTATAATGGAAATACACAACTTGTATACTGTACAATACATACTGTAAATACTGCCAAAATCATGAGATCCAGAGTTTCTAATGAAGAAAAAATTGAAAACTGTGACCTGGACTAGTATATTGCCTGACATGAATCTGACCCAGCCAGCAACCCCACCAGCAAAGAACAGCTGAAAAATGGCAGAACATCTCTCTAGAAATGTGATATCCTCTATGCTGGTTGATCTCTCTTAGACATACAAAGATTTTTTTTTTTAAATGTACAGAATTTTGTTGAATATAAGAGATCCTGACACTTTTTGGTGCGACATGGATGCAAATCACTGCAAACTACTTTTACTTTCTCCTGACCTTCATCACCTATATGAATGAAGGTCATTTATATTTTCCCTCCTGACCACAAATACGGTAGAATTCATTCGTGTCACTCCTCCAGCTACATTAATAAGAACGGCATTCTTCTCTGAGTTCACCTTCTGATGACTCGGCGACAGCCACAGAGCCACAGAACTGAGGCCTGGATTGGGCACTGGCTTCTCCATGAATTTCTTCCACCTAAAAGACAGATTTATAGCAATCACTAGAAAGACAGTTATGAATATAAACACATTGTGACCACGACATCTTAACATTACAACATATCTTTTATTACGAACAACAAGGAAATGTCTTTGGTTAAGTGGTTTTATTTTAAATCAATCCACATCACATCATCACTGGCAATAAAAGACTGAAACTTACTGAATAGCACAGCATAATCCAAGAGACAACACAAGAACTATGACGACACTTCCACTGACACCTAGTGCTGTAATGAGCCTTGGATCTGTGGAAGAAACCATGAAGTAGTTTGTTGAGCACAAAAATGATTCACTTCCCAAAACTGTATAAAAAGCAGGCAGTGATTCACAATATAAAACACTTTCACCACTGATGGGAACAACAGGATCGTTCATTGCTTTTGAGTAACTGGTAATTCTAAACCGTTTGTAGAGAGTTTGTGGTATTTGGGTTACTTAAGGTAATTGATTAGTGAGTAACAGGAGTAATAATGTCGTTGGTTAGAATCTTTATTGTAGCACTTGAAGCTGATATTACAACAGCAAAACAATAATCATAAATCCTGCCACATTTCATTTAGTAAGACCAGGGCTGAATGATGTGCAAAAACAGTCATATTGCAATTATTTTGATATAAGTCACAGTTTTGGTGGGAATGGTCATTTCTGCACTTCTTCTCCACTGAAGCAAATCTAAAAATGATGATGGTTGTTTTTTTTCTGTGGTCTGTACTAAACAAGAATGTCCCCTTATGTCTGGAGAATATGATCGACATGCTTAATTTATAATGGTATGTTGTGACACCCTTTGTCAAAAAGTTGCACCTCCTGAGATTTGGATATTTCACTGGGCATACTGCAATTTTAATTATGTTTCAAGTAATTATTCAGCTCTAGCAAGGACACATTTTCATAATATATCATGAACATATTAGTTTTTATTCCTTGGACAGTGCTGTGTGCTTTGGAAACTGATCACATTTATTTATGCTCATTTAACAACCAACACGTTTTTATTAAACTTCTACTTCACACAGGCCTCATCTGTTTCTTACCAGTCCTATTGCCCCTTTTCTCTTCCCAGCAGTCAGAACAGTAAAGCTTAGCTTGCATGAGCTGGCATCCCTGAATTCTTTTGGTTGCATTCCAAGTTACTTCTTGCAGTTTCCCAGAACAATACAAACATTTTATCTTCATAACCATTGTTGAAAATGACAGATCTTGGATTGGGGACAAATTCTCTTTCCTGAAGTTTCAACATTTGGCACCACAGGAGCAGGTTATGGGTGGTGTAGTGAGTCCGGTCACCGTTTGACTAAAGCAAGACTGTTGTGCTGAACAGCGCCTACTGTAGCCACTGATAATGGTGAATGGTGAAACAGTTTGTACCACTAAGTAGAGAAGTCATAGAGTCCGTTAATGGACTCATTAACGGTCAAATGTGCATCTGTATCTATTTTACCTCTGCTAAATGTCACTCCTTGAATGTATTTAACTGAGCAGTGTTTTACGTTCTAATACATTTACTTTTGTGTTGGTACTTTACTTTTAAAAAGTAACTTATTTTGGCTGTAAAGTAAAGCAACTGCTGTGCGCATCTTATGAGCCTTGACATGCCAAAGCAGGATGATGATGTAACTGTTAAAGTTATAGCTGCATCAGGAAGGTACTGGGTGTGTGTGAAGCCAAGGTACAATGCAAGAAGCCAAACTGCTCTCAGGATCATCCTGAATTACCGCATCAATCACTCCTGAAGGTGAGCAGAGAAACACATGCTCTGAGGCCATAATTGCTTGTCTGTGTGTTTGCCTCACCACACGTTATCCCTTCTGTTTCAGATGCAGCTTCAGTCATTTTGCAGGCCTGTAAGCAAATGGTTCCTTACGGCAAAAAGAAGTAAAACAACAGTCTCTGGTCGTGAGTTGTAATTTGTAGAGCAAGGATACTTGAAACGTATTGTAGAGCAGGAATATGCTGTAGAATGAGAGCACATGCTGTATAGTGAGAATGTGTAGAGTAAAGAAACATTAGGATGTAGCCATGCTTAAGAGGAGGTGTTGAGAGAGCAATACCTAAGAGGTGGCGCGTAGAGGTTAATGGCATGATGCAGTCTTAAATACATGGTTATGTTATGACTTTTTTTCTTTTCTTTAATGTGCAGTAAGGGGGAAGAACCTATACCGGAGGCAGATAGGCCTCGATACCCCTGGCTTTTCTGCTAAATTTGGGGCTCTGGAAAGCTAAAAAGGCACACCGGTAAAACTGGGGTTCTCTGAAGGGGACAAATAAGGGAGGAGACTTTCGAGAAGTCTCCTCTCTAAAAGCAGCTGAGCTGGATGTTTCATTCCAGGAGCAGCTAAAGGTAGTTTCTGTTGCTGTCTCCAAAGAGCACAATAAACTTTTTTGCAACTGACTCTGTTTGTCTCCAGTGATCTTCATCAATTGGACCAGCTGAGTTTTTTTTTTCAAGCCTACTTCAATTCTTTAGAATTAAGTGTTAACTTACAATTAGTTTTAAAATTCAATGTTTTGAGTTTATTTTAGGCTAAGACAACCTTACTGACGTTGGACACAACAAATTCATGACTATTCACATTCAGAGGTGGTATGAATGATTTAGATGATCAAATTCGCAATCAAACTTTCTGCCCTTCACTGTGTGTGTATTGGCATCTCTTTAACAGTTTTCATACAAATGTGTAGGAATCGAGGATGTACACATTAAGAATTGAGCAAAATGGTCTGTCATCTTTTGAAAAAGTGCCCCCTTGAACACGTGCAGGAGCTTCACTGGTGTGTGCTGGTGCCACAGCTGGGGATACAGTCGCTTGGCTGTGCTCCTTGCTGCAAATCACATTACGGATGTTTTAAAGTAAATGGGACTCGGCTGGTAATTTCTTGGTCTGGGTTTGTGAACAAGGCTACCTGGGCCATTTGCCATCACATCATCCAAACTGTGGAACAGTCTGCCTTTCTGATCAAACTGGAGGCATCTTTAGTATTCTTATCGTTTCTTAAAACGTTCTTCTATTTAAAGGCCTTTATGAATATATGATACATGGCTGTTTCTTGTGATTCCTTTTCATTTCCCTTCTGTTTTATGATTTAACCATTTCATTTACCTTTGTTTGTGGTCTTTGTTTTTATGTCTCTGGCTGCTTGTAAATAAAGTTATTATTGTACAGTTATTACTTTTTGTAATTATTTGTTGTTTCTGTAAAGTACTTAGTAACTTTGTTGGGGAAAATGGCATCTAAATTAAGTTTATTATACCAATTGCTATATTATACTATATACCAAATGGTGACATCTGTGTCAAAATTGAATGCCTACACATTGTACCCCATGTCCTATGAACACAGATCTTAAGACCTTGTCATCCAGTTGCTCTTCCACTGGGCCATTTCTGGTTACACCAACAGACTCCTGACAGTGTCTATTGCAACTGCATTTGTAGAATTAAGGCTTAGAATTGTATAAATTATGTGTGTTACATAGGCAGGAGGCCTTTACAGACTACTCACCAAATCTTTTGGTTGTAAAGAACCTCTCTGTGCTTCTGGTAATTCCAGTAAGAGCTCTGGCCTCCACATAGACTCTGTATTGGGTGTCTGGTTTCAGATCTTCCAAAAACACATCCTGCTTTTTGCTATCTACAGTAACATCTAGAAGAAAGCCATCACAGAAATATCATAAACAGAGCATGAAGAGAATGTGCAAACTTAGAACCAGTCTGTAGGAGACTTACTGAGCAGTGTTCCATAGAAGACTGTGTAGTCGTTAACAACACCACTGCATTCCTCCTGTGACTTTAAATCCCAGCTCACATAGGCACTTTTGTCATAAGCTTTCACATCGATGATGTCAACCTTCCCTGGATCTGTGGAAATTATATTTTCAAAATCCAACTATTAGACATGAAGAATACTATTATAAAATTATTTCTAAAAACCTGAAAGGTGTACCTCCTACTCTGGAGCAGATCTGAAGGGCTTGAGTGCTGTGACCTGTCCTGTCAGCCATGAGGGGAGTGACTGTGATATTGTATTCCTTCTTATCCAGAAGATCTGTAAGAAAAAGAAGAATGGTCTAAAAAATCTCTGAGAGTGAAGTGGCAAGTAATGGTTGTAACATGTTGAAGTCCTAATTTTCTTCCAACACATATTGCTATGATTTGGCTTTTTTCGCCACATTATCACTGTGACTGTGTGGCGATGACATTAGTTCAGCAGTCAGTAGGTCCACTACTTTGGTGCACATGGAAATATCTCTAACTTTGGTGATCCCCTAAATTTCTCTCTTGTGCCACCATAAAATTAGCATTTCTGGGTGAGATATCTTAGTTTTTTTATGTGTTTGTTTGTTGGGGTTTATTTTGCATGTAGACCACATTAGACCGGGTTCATATATGAAAACATTATATATAACCCGGACCAGGTCACAAATCAGAGACTGTCTTTTAAAATCTAGTCCAGTTTTTTTTATTTTATTTTTTTAAATCTTACCTATGTAAGATTATTTTGTGAAACTTTCAGAGGAAGTTCCGATTATTTCATAAAATAACCACCAAGTAAAAACGCTGAAATAATTGTTAGCATTGTTAATATTAATCATTGTTATTATTTTTTAATTGTTATAATAACTAACAATAATTGTTGTTGTTATTGTTGTTATTGTGGTAATTGGTTATTATTATTATTATTATTATTATTATTATTATTATTATTATTATTATTATTATTATTAGAAGAGGAAGACGAAACAAGCTGGAAATACAGCTAAGCAGGTCATAACATATCAGCATATCACAGTTCTCAAAAGCATTTATAAAATGATAAGATCTTTCTGGCAAATGCATTACAGAATAGCTTTTGAAATCTAGTTCCACCAGCGTGTCCATTATTTGCCCCACCCAAGTGATGAAGATAAGACACAAATTGATCTGGCGGCCAAGCACGTTAGTGGGAACTCCTGCGTCTGCATGGGTAAGAAAATGACTCAGATATTATCCACAAGGTGCACTCCGTGATTCAGTGTTTAATTGATTTACCATCCACTTATCATTTTGAATCTGTTCTCTGACTTACCAAACAGAGTTGCATTTGTATATTTGGTCTCCTTCCAATAGATATGATTTCCACTGTGGGTCCAGTCAACCATATAACCACTGACAGGCTGAACAGGAGCCTTCCAGCTGACCAGAATCACACCTTCATGGGTTGAGGTGTGGATGTCAGTAACTTGGGGGAGGCCTGCCAGTGACATAAAATGAAAAGAGGCAAACAGCTTAAAACCAAATCAATAACAAACAACCATAAAAATGAAGCAACATAAACTGTGGTTACCCATTAAAAATGCCAAATCGATCATGCATTAAAACTCACTCTCTCCAATTGCTGGAACATAAACTGATTCCTTTGCAAGAAAGACTTCATCATGGAAGACTGTGAGAATTAGTCTTTGAGCGTCTTGGTCCACATCAACATCACAAGTTGAATTTCCACACGAAGTGTAATTCATTGAATTCATGTGTTCTTTGTAGGGCATCTGTGTGACAGTGTACTTAAATGTACCCTGACATGCTGAAGGAATATCCTGTGTAGATAGTTCAAAGCAGGTAAGGTCAAGAAGCAATGCAAAGGGACTATCTCTTAGGAAGTGAACAGATAAAAAGCTGAGACATGAGTCTAGAAATTCAATATATAAGTATTCAAAAATATGCTGTTTAAAGACAGTAACAACATGTTTCTTACTGTCCACATGACACGAACTCTTCTAACTCCGTTTTGGTCCAGTTCAGTCACTTTTCTCCACAGGTTTAACCTGACGTGACTTTCTGTAAAAGGTTCAAATATATGTTCAGAATAATTACACGGGAACACACAGGCAGCAGTATTATGATTGGTCCAAACTAAATTTCAGGAAAGAAAGAGTAGGCAAAAAGCCTGGAGTCCTTCCTAACTGCTGCAAGCAACTTTGCGGCTGTATTACTGTTAGTCATTGTTAGGGTTTGGTTTTCCAGGATTGGACTGCAATCATCTGTTACCTGTAACCAGTTCTCTAGACTAATTTTAGCAGTGACATCATACAGCTATACAGACTTAACTTTCGACCTTGTTGGCTTTGTATGAGATGTGTTATAAGATTCTCATTACTGTCTCAGTAAAGTGTTGGGCCACCACATGCCTACATGTATACAGGTCTACAGGTTTCTAGAACTGGTGGTGGAGAGCACTGTCTAACATGTCAGTCCAGAATCTCTCATAGGTGAGATGTGGTGACTGCAAATTTACATCATCAATCGATTGAGTGAACCCCCAATAACAACAACATTAATACTTTACTTGCTTTATACTTTATATGGAACAGTTTAAAAACAGAGTTTACAAAATGCATTGACAGACAAGCCAAAAAGAGGACACTCAGGAAGGCAATACAACAACAGAAAGCCAGTCAGACCAAACAGAAAGGAAAAAGACCAGAGAAGCAAAACATGGACAAATAAAGTTAAACAGTAAAAAACACAAAATGCAAATAACATAGTTTCTACATGGATATATTAATAAAACAAATCCAAATCCAAATAAAATAAGTCTATAAAATTTGGTTTTAAGAAGGGAATTTGGAACACTCAGGGAGGTTGTAATGTGCAGGACAGGTCCAGCTTGTATACCAGAAAACTCTTTTGAGTGAACATTGATCTTACTGTTTAGTTTGGAAAGAACTGTCTTCTCCTCGCTCCAGTTGCTCCAAGGGGCCTGGTCTAAAGCACAGCGGACTGAAATTTTGTAGAAAATGCAGGATTCCACTTTTTCAATGGAGATTTTCCCATTCTCCCCCTTGTTTAAAGTCTTATTACGCACCCACTAGAAAAAACAAAGATTTAAATCAGAAAACATTCTGTGAAATTCGAGTGAATTCCCAGTATGCCCAAGGCTAGAAAAAACACCTACAAGCTTTCATTTAGTGCTAAAAATGTACAATGGCAAATACCCATGAAATATGTCATGTTCTGCAAAGATGTCATTACTTTGTTTTGTTGAAATGTAGTTATGAGTGTTATTGGCAAAACAAAACAAAAACAAAAATGGCAGAATTGGATCAAATTTGTGAACGACGTGTAGCAAAGACAATGGTTTGACAAAAATGTTGTCCCAGGTTTGTCAGTGTTGTTTTACAAGTAAAACAAAAACATCGAGCAACATTCTGGCAATAATGAAAAGTTTGCCCCTACTGGGAAACATCCTAACTGCTGGTTTGCCAGTCGTGGTTTTGGCATTATTGGCAAACATGTCAGTTATGGACCACCATAGATCACATTTTGTGGCAATAATGATATTTTTATAGTTTTCCTGCAGACAGCTATAGTTAAACTTTGACAATGTCGCTGCAAATTTGCAGCAATTCAGAAATATGATTTGCATTTGAAAACATGACCATTCTGCAAATTTGTGGCAACACTGCCACAGATTCTTGACTAGCGTTCACTAAAAACCTACAATTTAAAGTGCAGTCTAATGCTGCACCAGCTGATCATTACACGAGCTACTTGAGGTTAAGGACTCATCTTCTTCATCTTCATCTTTTCATACGTTACTGTAACTACCATCTTTTTCAGCTTGTGAAAAGCATTCATATCAGAGTTCATGTTTTAAAAGTTAGAAAATTCTTGAAAATCTGACAAACACAGTATTCCATACATCTTCTGAGGAAAAGTGTTTTCGTTACCTCTTGAGTTCCTCCATCAGCTGATAAAGCCTGGAAAAGACCAACAGAAAGAGTCTAAATTAGCCATGAGTGGTGTAAGAATATTGTCAGAATCAAAAACAGCTTCTGTAATCTCGAGACCTTTCATTTTCATTGGGAGCAATCAGATACATTGTAAGGGACAGACTTGCCAGAGCAGCACTTATGTGTGGGTATCATGACAAGAATTATGTAGTGTTCACAGATAACCATGTGCAGCCCAAAAATTGTGTCTGCTTGGCAACTACACTACAAAAACAATAGCGCACATGATCGACATTAGTGGGCATGCAAGGAATATGTAGTTAACACCTCGTGCACATGCATGGAACTAAGTCCTCCAGACAGACTCCAGTGGACGAGAAAAGTAGCAGAATAACAACAACCACATCTCCATGGTGTCCGCAGCTGTCCACAACTGTCCATGCATGTCTACAAGGTGGCATGATGAAGGCTTAGAAGAGAATCCCAAATAGAAATCTGCAACGTAACAGCTGAACTGGGAAACATCCAACCAAAATAATATTGTTGCGTTCATGCAAGTTCTGTTTGTGAAACTGAAGTAGTTTCACCATGTAGTAGAAATATAACCTGTGGGGAAAATGCTTTTAATCTTATTTTGGGCAAAGTCATTAAAACTGAAGCAGTTATAATCAGATTTGAAGGGTGATTTGTGACATGCAGTCTGAACATTTCAGGAACCAAATATGGAAAGACATTATTTATCCACTGTAGGTACCCACTTTACTAATTTAGGTCATCTGTGACTGTTTGTAATGTGAAAAATTAGTTGTTGTTGTTTTTTTTTTTTACAGCAGTCTAGTGTTAACCAAACTAGCCATTACACCAACAATGTGCAAGATGAAATCCAACAACTTTGACCACGACCTAAAGTGCAACAAAACGACAACAAATACTGGTTACTAGGCATAGCTGCAGGCCAGAACTTCTTGTGTAGGAAAAAGAGCAATGGAGGTTTTCTATGTTAGCCTATATGATGAATTTTACATTTTTGATGGGGATGGTAGAGAGGAAAGGGCAAAGACTTAACAAGAACATTGAGAAGGCAGAAAAATGGGACTTTGTTGCCTCCTCTGCGTTTAACCAATTCGTGTTAGTTTTCTCTGAATTTAACCAATCAGTGCCCAGCCGTGCACAGGGGAGGTTCCTGCAGTAAGAACATGCACAGTGGTTCAGGCCTCCAAATACCTGCAGTATCAAACCACTTACCAATACAAAATTCCCTGGGAAGCACGCAGCCCCTCAACCAAACCCTAACAGAACTGTGCTAAGCTAAATATTATGTAGATTGCTTGTTTTATTTACTTAAATACAACCTTTACTTTTAGTCCTTTCTTCCTGGCATGAGTGTGATGCAGCTTATGGTCCAACTCTTGTTTATGGTAATGGTAATTTACTTTTGTAGTCACCGATGCTGAAATAGTTGTCATGACTGGTTTCACAGCTGTCTTCAGGTTATCGAACAGGGACATACCTTGTGTTTGATTTCACAGTGACACTTCTGTGAGCCAAGTGATCGATTCCACGTAACCAACAGGTGATCAGAGAAGACAATTACTGCTACCTTTGGGCGGATAATTTTCACTGAGGGAACATAAACATGGCAGCATCATCAAAATCCAACAGATGAGAAGAAAAACACCTGTTTATATAAAATGTAATTCATTTACTTACATATTTGATATGGTGCAAATTCATAAGAATCCGAGTAAGCCTCCCAGTTTGAAGTTTTAGCTCTCACCATAACAGTGAAATTATCAAATATTTCGCTATGATTGGATGTACATATTGTTGTATTAGAGCTGCATATTTCCATTGGGGGAGAGTGTAAAGAAGAGGCCCTGAAAAAAAATACATGTTTTATATTAAATTCAAAAATAGTAGGAAGGTGAAATGTTTCTGTATTCATTCTTAACAAAAGGAAGAAAATACAAAACCTACCACCATACAGTGTAGTTTACTGTCAATGAAGGATCAATCTGATGTTCCCAGCTGCATGTGAAGAGCTGTGGCATACCGTCCCCCTCTTGATTCACATAATCCAAGGTACACGATATCTTTCTTGGTTTTACTATTGATAAAAGCAAGCAACCAATGTCATATGCAGTATTTCATCTTACTACAGGCATCAACAAACGTATTAACTGTGAGAATACAAGGAAATTACTTCTTACAGTAAGTTGTGATGATGGAGCCTCCAAGGATTTGCTGAGTATCTGCACTGTAGCATTCCAATGTCGCTCTGTGGTGAGTGAAGTTGCTCAGTGACACGACTGTCAATGTGGAGTTGATAGTGTTTGACAGTCTTTCATCAATAGGTCTGCTTTTCAGTGTCCAGAAGACTTTGCTATTAGCACATGAAGTAAGGCACACTAGCTTGATACTGGATCCCATTTCAATGTACGGGTCTTTAGGGAGAACATCGCAGTCGTTGGTATGTTGGTCTGCAGGAAATGATACTGTTGTTAAACACTTTCACTTTTTTTCAATGATGTAACTGGTTGCATTAAAGTAGTTTTACAGTTCAGAGTTCAGGCAGATTGCTGCTTTTCACATTCACGTCTGCAGGCTAGTAGTCCAGACGTTGCAGGCGCTTTGATTTGTACATGCTTTCCATCAGTGGTGCCTAAACATAGCAGAACATTCCAGTTTCTCCAGGAATCCTGAACTATGTCTATCAACTGTGCTTGAAACAGGAACGATCACACTGACAGAGTGCTACAGCTCAATCTGTGGCTAACTGCTATTTCCTGTTTAAAGAAAAGAAAAAAAAAAAAAAAAAAAAAGCAAAGTCACTGCTTTTCAGAAACATATGCCGGAGCCTCACGTGTTTTTCTGTGTTCAATATGAGGGACAATGAGACCACCAGCCGCAGATCAAGTCATGGCTTTGTAGTCTGAATAAAACCACCTGGGTGTCTTCTTTTAATGTCTTCGTCAGTCTGCACACATGGATGCACAAAGTATTAATTGGCCCTCAGGTAAGAGGATTCAAACCACTCTGATACAGTAATGTCTGGTCCAAGACATTTTGTGAATACTCTCTTGTCAGAAACTGATAAAAGAGTTTTTGAGCTTCTGTTTGAAAATCCACATCAGCCTTAGATTTGTTGGGTTTGATCATATACATTTTGTAAGGTCTTTATCTTACTTCATGAAGTGTCTTGGAATGGCAAGTTGTGAATTGGCTCTTCATAAATACAACTGAATTGAATTCTTTGTGCAGATGTGTTCACCCCTAAGAAACTGACTATAGGGGGATATAATGATAGCTTGAGAAGTGTAACAGACTAGTCTGTCTGTGTGTTTGGTAAAGAGCATGGTGTCAGTGTTTCCTATTACAGATTACCAAAGTATCCAAAAACTTTCAATTGAACCACTGAAGTAGTTAAGATGTGAAAAAGAGTTATGTCATCAATTTGTTTTTTACAGAACACAGTGGATTGGGGGGTTTTGTTGCCATTGTTTTTCTGTTTTTCCAGTTCTCTCTTTCAAATTTTAAAAACAGCCAAAAATAAAATGCCAAAAAAAAGTTAATCAGAGTGACACCAGAAGTTCGTGGTTGGCCAGTAATCTTGGTGACTCAACACTTCCTGTTGCTGCTTGACAAATGGTTGCAGGTGGAAAGCCTATAATTTGAAGCAGCAAGAGAAAGACTTGTTTGCATTATGAGTACATTAGCTCCACATCACACTGTCTTACATTATGAAGAACCCATTAGGAAACTACGAGACTTCTATCTGAGCAGGCGTGTGCACTCCAAACAGCCACACTTTCACTACACAAGAGAAGCAGATTGAGTCTCTCATATATTCTAATTACATTCAGGTCACACAACTAAGCATTCCTTACACCTGAAAAATAAGCACTCAGAGATTTTAGAAAAACCTGCGAGATTTAAAATTATTTTAAAATTTGTTTTCAAAACAATTACAGCTGTTCTTAGGATATTTCCTGAATTCCTAAAACCTGTTTCCTGATTTTCCTATCTAGACAGCTGAATATGACATACCTTCCTGTACTTTTTGTGCAACACAAGAAAAGTATTCATGTTTTATTCTCTTTCAAAATTCAACAGACAACAAAAGTTAGTACACTCCTGTGTAATATCACTTAGGCATCAAAAAAATCCTAGTTGTAATATCCCACAGTAATTGCAATATTTCTGGGTTAAACAGTTGATAGTTTCCTTTTGTGAACAATCAAACACTTTAAAAAGACTAATTTAAAAAAAAAATAGAGGCCACAAAGTAGAAGCTTGATGCAGTGAATACACAGTACAAGTTAGAAAACATGTGATCATTGAAACAAAACTAGGTTTACCTGTGATTTCCAACCAGTCTAACTGCATACCCATGGTTATAAAATGAGATGTGAACACAAGAACTCTCTCTGTTTTGGACCTATGGGCTGTGTCTGTCTGCATGTCTGCCTCATGGATCCAGATGGAAAAGAATTTACAGAGAATCTAAAAATGCCTGATAGTAAGACTTTACAACGATAGAAAAGAATCAAGGAAGATTGGTGACCAACTACGTGAGACAAAACACATTGAAAATATAGTAGCTTTCCCCAAACTACACTTGTTTCAGAGTTAGTCAATTTTTAGATTGCAATTTCACATAAAATATGGTCGGTGGTTCCTAAAATTGTAATTTGTATAGTTCCATCAAAGAAACATTTAAGTTCAAAAGATGCTTTCATTGAAGTACCTGTGTGATGCCAACAGAAGTGAAGGCATCAAAGCCAATATTACCCTCTTCAGCAAAGATTGGACCAAACTTGGACCTGACACTCAGATTGGGAACCACTTGGATAAATCTATATATGCAGTTGTTAAAATACACTTCAATCAGCTACAACAGTAAAATGCTCCTCACAAATGAACTTCTGTTGGAGGAATACTTTTGGTTTTGATACTAGCTAGATTTGACAGCAAGCTACTGATATGAAATATACTTGGAATGATGTATTCTTATTGTATAGTTTGCTTTATGCACTGTTGCTTTTACTTAAGGTAAAGCTTTAGTCCTTCATTTCTAATCAAACATCAAATGACAATTTCAAAAGAAAGGCAACATTTCCAATTAGCTGTGTTATCATAAGACTAGCTTTACAAAGCTAACAGCTGATCTCCTGAGACCAATGCCACATTAGATTCTACCTTACAGAGAACAACATTAAATGTGTCAGTGATTTTTTTGAATCTGTTTCAAGAGTCCAGCAATGAGCAGCTTGTTGATTTGTAATACTTAAAGAGTGGCTCAAAGATATTTATCCAGGCTCTTTTCATTTGGTGTCAAAATAAGATTTTATCTAAAGTGTTTCGTTATAGAATATCGTCTGTTACAAAACCTGCTCTGAAATCAAAAAATGTCACGCTATTGCATACAAACATTTCAAGACCTCATATTGTGGTGATTTTGAATAAGACATTCATAAGAATTCTCACATGGACAATAGAACAATATAGATTTTGATGCACTCAAATGTGTAATCTAAAATAATAACAACAATGTAAAATGTTATGATACTAATAAACTGCCATTTGTACTGTGTTGGTTGTTAAATCGACAGCTTGTACAAATACAGTACCATAACAACATCCTAGCCAAATGAAAGTAAAACAAGCAGGCATTTCCAAGAACTCCAAGAAACGCATAAGACTGGCACATCTAGAGCTTCATGAACGTCTCACTTTGTCAATTACAAAACACAAAAAACAGTAGAAGAGGAACTTACCTGTACAAACAGATGGAATGACAGCCAGGATAAACAGGACCAGGATGGTGTACATTCTTTTACCCTGGGAAAAGATCTCTAAGAAATCGCCTTTTAACTACATTTAGAGCTGCGAGGGAGTCAGCGGTACCAGACGACAGCAGGGTTTAGAGAATAAGTTCGGGCGGACCGAAGCCCACACTGCAGCGCATTGTCCCCACTGTGGAGCAGAACAGGAACTGATGACACCCTGAAATAAACGGGAGTTATTACCCAACCGAAACACAGCCACATAAAGCGGGAAGTGAAGTAACTCGTGGACAGTTTCTAAACTGTGATTATCGGATGTGTTTCTTCCCTCAGAGACCTGAGATGAGCTGTTGTCAGGAAGCTGCTGATGCGCTGCTCCCAGGAACCGGAGCTCTGTGTCCAAGAACAACATCCCAGCAAAGCATCAGCGTCACACTGGAAAGAAAGACACATTCTAATGTGCATCTCAGATTTCTCTTGGAAGACTTCTCCTTTATTGTTTTAAAATAGCTTAGGCCCACAATACAATTCAGAATAACCAAACAGCTTATATAGTCCAACACTAAAAAGTAATTCAAGGGACCTATTCCTGCCGTTTAATTAAATGCATGGCTAGATAACCCTTGCAATAAAGTGGCAAACAATATTTTGATGGGTTGGGTTGACATAAAAATGCTGCTAATTGCATCAAATTATTATTGTGCTAGTTTAAAATCAAATTTCTGCGTTAGTAGATGTAAATCAAAGCCTACGCTGAGGTAACTTAATGAAACTTGGCTTGGTAATTTCATTTTTCTTCACCTTGGGTTTAGGGTTTCAAGTCCCCTCCCCTATTTTAACAGGCCTGGACAATTTTAGATGGTTACCACTGGCACTGCAAATAACTTTTATTGTAAAGGAAAAGCTAATCTCCCAAACATTATGTCGTTTTTTGGCTGAACATAATTTCATTAGAGGTTGTCTTAACTCAAACAGATTGATGGTAGCTGTTTATTTTGTATTTTTCATTTTTTTGTTCATGCCTAAACATAATTTTTTAAAGTGCACACAGCTAATCTATGAAAGTATTTCTGGCTATGTTCTATTTGATATACCAAAAGTGGAGCGACTTAGTCAGACTTCATCCTAACCATCAATGATTCAGTATATGGACAGTTTATTCAGAGAGGATGAGCGTGATGCCAGACTCTTGTGCCAGGAGCCAGAACGAATTCCAAAAAGCAGAGCTGGACTGTTTTACAGCACTGGCCAGGATGACACTATAACACACATTAGTAATTGTGTCAGCCGTTGAACATATGGCCTGTACTTAAAACAATGTCTGTCTACAACTGGGCTCTGAGTTCATCTCTGACACACTCCAGGGTTTCCCTGTTGTTCATTTTAATTGTATGTTTTGTTTATTTATTTATTGTGGCTCTCTATTGTTCTTTTGCTCTGACTGGGACAATTTTGTACCGTTGTGGTCATTTTTATGTCTTTAGGATTATATGGTGTTTTGGGGCTTGTTTTGTGTGTCTTTGTAGGTTTTGTGGACAGAAAAACTCTGCATTGTTGATGGTTTACCCAGACGCCTTTCTTTTGTGTTGCTATAGCTCCATCTAGTGGTTGATGCATGTCATTTACCAAGGGGTTAACTAAACAAGGCTGGAGAAAAAAATCAGGTGGGAAATCATCATTCTAATATTATCTACAAGCTTCCTTAAAACTTGTCACTATAAGCCGAATAACACCTGTAGCCTCCACGTTTTGTAATATAACCATATATAGTCTCATTTAGCATACCGGCTGTTTGGCAATATGCGTCCTTGTCCGTACTTGCGTTCTTGGTATTGAGAAACGGCCACCATGTAATATGATGCTGTTACGAAAATACCCCGGAAGTACTTTTGCGAGCATGCGCACTATGGACTGAACCACTGATCGCGCTGCTAGCTTAGTATGCTCGCTTACATTCGTTTTGCTACCTTTGGACTTAGTTAAGCTCAGTCCACTTGATAAGTGTAGCTGCATGTTGGTTTTAAAAATATATCAGAAATATTTAATACATCATACATATGGGGTAACACCAATCGTTAAGCTGAGAAATTGCGCAACCATTACTTCCGGGTTATGTTTATAACTTGAACGCCACCCATCAATCTCGTGCCTGCTGACTTGTCCCCGGTCCCCACTTTAATGTCCGCGGCGGTGCTAATTGCCGCTGTTGTCGGCGGTGGGGTCCTGCTGCTTATGCGCCGTTTATTCCCTCGACAGAAAGCCGTTCAGTTGCTCCAATATCCAGTCGACACTATGCGGGGGAAAACAGTCATCGTGACCGGGGCTAACAGCGGCATCGGGAAGGCCGTAGCCGGGGAACTACTGAAAGTCCATGCCCGGGTCATCATGGCCTGTCGGGACCTGCCAAGCGCCGAAGAGGCAGCCCAGGAGATCAAGAAACAAGCGGGGCCGGAGCAGGGGGAGGTGGTCATCAAACACCTGGACCTGGCTTCTCTCACATCAGTCCGAACATTCTGTGATGAAATTAAGGACGTAAGTGGGGTGACTCACGGGAAAGCAGGCGTGGGGATGTTAGCTAGGTTGTTTACTGGCTGCTGTGCAGTTTGTCCTTTGAAGTGACTGCTGTTCATTCCAAGATAGTGTCCTGTCTCCGACACAGCAGGGCATAGCAGATACAGCTGGCTGCAGCTGTCCTTGGTGCTGAACGTTTGTATTGCCCCTAAAGCAGAGCTGCCAGACTTCACTCTGATAAGCTGTTAGATGATGGTCATGCATGGACTAATTCTCAACAGGGGTCTGTCTGGGAATGCATATCTCTTGGCAGATTTTAGAGATAGAGTTCTTATTTGTTCGAAGCTGTAGTCAAGATATACTTTAAGTGACTGTAGTTGATTTTGCCAGACATTTGAGGCTTTAATCAATGCATGTCACAAATCACAAATCTGGGGGCTTTGCTTGGTTTACTTTGGTTATTATAGCATATTATTTCATACTATGGATACTTAATAAGGTACACAATATAATATGATGGATTCCTAACAGCTTTGCAATAAATTCTAGTGTAAGTCAGAGTTATAGAGTAATCAGTTTGATGTTTCTTTGACATTTGATGATTGTTACCTCCCATAACCACTGACTGTCTCAGGGTAGTCCCTACAAGACCGCATCTGTTTTATTTCAGAATTGATTAAACACGTTCATTTATATTTGTAGTATTTATTTAGTTGTTTGGTTAAATGTAATGTTTTGTTTGTATATGAAACAGTATACAATGCGTGTAGGACAAACTTCAGAAGCCTGCTCTGAATTAGTGCTTTGAAAAAAAAATAAAAATCTGGTACTTCTGAAGGTCACATGGATCTCCCAATGAGAAATAAACCAACTAATGATTTTACATTCACTAAACCCTCATTCTTACTTGTATTTATGTGTATATTGCTTTGAGTAGTTATAGATCTACATTTTTGGGTAAAAAGCATTTTGGTTAGTCATTCCAGTGATGATGTTATTCATCTGTTAATGTGGAATATTAAATGTTTTTCATTGCTCTTGCTTAGGAGGAATCCAAGATTGATGTGCTTATCAACAATGCGGGCGTCTACCAGTGTCCCTACACAAAGACAGAAGATGGCTTCGAGATGCAGTTTGGCGTCAATCACCTGGGTCACTTCCTCCTCACTCACCTGCTGCTGGACATCCTGAAGACTTCAGCTCCCAGCCGCATCATTGTGGTTTCCTCTAAACTTTACAAATATGGTCAGATCAACTTTGATGATCTGAATAGTGAAAATAACTATGATAAAGCATTCTGCTACAGTCAGAGCAAGTTGGCCAACCTGCTGTTCACACTTGAGCTGGCTCGTCAGCTTGAGGGGACAGGGGTCACGGTCAATGCTCTCACCCCGGGCATCGTGAGAACCAGACTAGGCAGACATGTACAAATTCCTCTCCTGGCTAAGCCCCTGTTCCACCTCGCCTCACTGGCCTTTTTCAAGAGTCCACTGGAGGGGGCCCAGACTCCTCTTTATCTGGCCTGCTCCCCAGAGGTGGAGGGAGTGTCGGGGAAGTGTTTTGCGAACTGTAAGGAGGAGGAGCTGATGGCCAAAGCTACAGATAACCAGGCAGCCAAGAAGCTGTGGGACATAAGCATGAGGATGGTTGGACTTACTGACTGAGCAGAGTCCTGTTCTGTGGCCATTACTGATGGAATTAAAAGTTCTTGGACCAGATAGTTAACTTCTTGCAGCCCCATAGACACCATCATCCAAGAGATAGGTTGTAAAATTTGCCACTTTGAGGATTAAAACATGAGCTAAATGACATGTTGTGCCAGTGATAGTGACTGTGACTAGGCGCGCTACATTGCAGTGAGCTGGTATGAATGAAGATTTTAATTCAAAAATGTGCCTGTGAAAGTGATGGTTCAAAAGAGAAAGCATTGTTACATGAAATCATCTACTTTCTTAATAACTCTCTTAACCTGAATAAAACGTGCTAATTTGCTGCATCCAACAAGGCTGGTTAGTCTGGGTTCTTCAATATAATGCTTGTGTAGCAGTGTTTTTTATAATGCCATGACCTGAGCAAGATTTGAACACACGCAAAGATCAAAGGGAGCAAACTCTGGAGCGAATTGCCTCGCAGCATTCATCAAAGACAAGCTGAGCTGTCACATTTTTCTCCATTGTGAGGTCCCATTATTGCTTGTGCTCTGCAAACCCTCAGAGTGGAGTGATCCGCGTATCCATTTCATGTTCAGCTGCTGTGTTTGAATGCAAAATGTGTGCATACTTTAGCATCTATTTTTCAGTGTAACGAAAGGAGAGGTGGGGGGAGCTGTTAATCTAGTTTGCTCCTTTCGATGTGTTTGAAGTGTAAATGCTTCCTGCTGTGTTTGGAAGAGCTGGAACAATTAAGGTCGACAATGCAGATGAGTGGCTCCCTCCTGTGGATGGATTCAGTCACAAATAATGCCCCTCTCATTTCAGATGGATGGGGAAAAAAAGGAGACACAGCAATAGAATGTGTTAACCCTGTGAAATTAGTTGGCATTAGGATGAAATCTGAACATCAAGAACACTGAAGTCACTGAATTACTGCCCTATGTATGCTAACAGGACTATTTTTTTTAATTTTTTTAATTTTTTATAAGGCAGGTGAATATAGTAGCCAAGCATGGCTGCAACTCACCATTTTTTTTTTTTTTTACTTTGGGCTCATCTGTTAGTTGTTTTTCAAATTAACTTAGTAATTGTTTGGTATAAAATTGGGAAAAATATCTTCAGAGTCTTGATTTGTGAACACTGAAAAGCAACTAATATTTGAAAGGTTGGAACTGAAATGCATTTGACATTTTATGTTGAAGTATGTGACTTCAATGATTAATTGATTAGCAACATACGTATTGCCTTTTTCTTTTTCACATTAAAAAAAACCTGTCACCTTATTGTTATGTATTAACCTAAAATAGTAGAATTAGCAGGTTTTAACAAATTCCAAAAGAGGTATTTATACCAAAGATATGTTTTTTTCCAGCCCCTGTATATTTAGTCTACATGACAGTTTTACCCTATCACAGAAGAGTATATGCTGGTATCTGTTGTGCAGTAGTTCTTATTGAGTGTGTTACGTATCACAAATACTAACAGCATGTCATACATTTGCTTTGACTGTAGTGTTTTCTTGCAGATGATTCCTTGGAAAACGCAAACTTCCTCTGTTTTCAGTTTGCTGATCTTGTTAAAAACCCTTCTCTACTAACCTACTTTTGAATTCACAACAGTGATAAAGAAAAGCTTCACAGTGACTCAGCAGGCATGAACCACATGGTTGCAGCAATCTGAGTGTGGATGATGAAAAATCTCCCTCTCACTTCAGTCGACTTCACGCTGCCGATCAGGAGATGTGTAATTAACTCAAAACAACAGCTGATCACATGCAGTTGACCTTGAACGGAGACAGTACAGCCACATAGGATTAAAGGAAGGCTGAGAGCTTAAATATATGGTTTGTGCTTTATTAGGCAAACAAAACAACCAAAATATATAAACATGCATTGTTGTCAAAGAAACAGGGGTACAGTGGCTTTGTGGGGTGTGGGCATTCAAATCTGAGGTAGAATGGGGGCAGGAAAACCTTTCTGAGGGATATAGAAGAGCAAAAATAAAGGAATACTGACTGCTAGGACAGGTGTTTACATCTCAAAACGTTCCATCAATAACAATAAAACACACCCACTGATACTGTCAAATTCAGTTAACAGAAGAAAAATTAAATGTAATGTTTGTCATTGTTCAATAAGGGATTCATATGATTAAGTTTCCCCTTAATTTCAACACTCACAATATGTAAATCTTCACAAAGCCAACAGTGTTTCAACCAATTAAAAATAATGACTTAAACAAATCTATGTGCAGTTTATTGGGGCAAGTCTCAACTAAAATACCTCTCTGACTTTCAAATATAGAATTGGCAGTTTTTAATTTATATACAAGTTCCAGAATATCGAGAAGATTTGCACTTTTTGTTTGTATTGGATGTATTTCTTGCTAACAGTTACATACAAAATATATCACTCAATTTTTCATTAGTATATATTTGTACATTAAATACATACACATTCTTACAAAATTTAAGAGCTCCTTCAGCTTCCGTCTCCCCCGTCCAACTCTTCGAGTGACTTACTTCCCCATGACATTTGAATTGTAAACAGTTGCCATCCACTGCCATACAATCAATGCTTTTAAATGATCAGCAATAGTTACATGTTCATGATACTGAATTATTTGGCTCCTGGCTGCTATTTAAACCATTTTCTATCAAAATGGTGGCACTAACAGAAGGTGTTGCTGAACGCATTGCGGCCTTGCGTCTACTATCCTATCAAACTTTGAAAACGATTGGAAAGTCTCAGTTCAGAAGTGTTCCATATAGCTGGGCCTTAGTCAGACTGTCCTTCCTGGAAAGTCCCAGGGAGCCAAATTTTTGGTTGTACGGAGGAGGAGGTGGTGGGGCCGGCGGTGGCGACTGGCTCACCTGTGCAGGCAGGCTGTGCATCTCCACTTGATAGTGCTGCAGCTCTGCGGCCATTTCCAGGGACCTCTGGTTAAGAGATTCGGAAGAGCTGTTGGGGCTGGGGTCTACATAATCCGTGCTCTGGCCTCCAGCTGCAACATTGCATTCCCTGTCTTTGGAGCTCCCTGAGTGGTAGAGGCTGTGCTCCGACCCCTGGCTGTCCTCCGCTCGGTACAGGTGAGCTTGGCTGTGCGCCTGCCGCAGCCCTGGACTGCATTCAGGACTGGGACTGGCAGCTGCCCACACTGGGTCCATGACATCCACTCCCTGATGATAGTAGTCCGCCCCTTCCTGGAAACTGCTGTAGAGCGGCCCCAGTCGGATCTTAGCAGGCCGTACAGAGAAGTGCTGCTCTGAGAAGCTGTAAGGGGAGGCACGGCCTGGGCTGCGGTAGGTGTTGGCACTTAAGTCCTCCACACTAAGCTGCCGCCATCGACCAATCAGCTCCTCCTCCTCAGGGGCTAATGTGCTGCCTCGACGACTGTCTCCGTAGGCGACACTTGGGGAGGAGGATGGAGGGAGCGGCTCATAGGGCTCACTGAAACAGGACGACATGGTACGGCTGTAGACAGGAGAGCTGCCGTTCTGGTGGTGGCTCAGCTCCGTCTGTTGGAAAGGATGAGCGTTGGCAAAGCCCCGTGGAGAGTCCCTCTCCCAGGATGAGTCACTCTTTCTCTCATAGTCCCCTGCATCTCTCCAGTCCATGTAGAGGGAATGATGGCGCGGGGAGGAGGCTGCACTGCTGGGCGGGCCGTTACCTTTGTCCTCAGACCCCGCTGCACTGAAGCTGGAGTAGGAGCTAGAACCTGCCCCCAGTGTAGCGGGAAACTTAGCAAAGTGCTCCTGGGAGAAGCCGGCTCTCAACCCCACAGAACCTTCCTCCGGGTTGCTGTCGGTGGAGTTCTGGGGCCCATACAGCAGCTTTCTCTGACCGTGAAGGTCCATGCTGGGCCTCCGCTCACGGTGACGTTCATCAGGGCAGTACAGGGCCGTGTCACTACTGTACAGGTCAGATTTGTATGCTGCACGGAGCCCCAGACGCTCTCCAGGGCCCAAGCGCTCCAGAATAAAAGTATGGTCCTGGGTTTGCGGGCTGGGGGAGCGGGAGGCCTGGCTGCTGCTGCAGGCCTCATCTGGCTTCTCAAGCACTTTGGCAATGAGAGAGGCTGGGACAGAGTCAGAGTAGGTGTGACAGAGTGGAGAGTCCTCCAAGTGCATGGTCAATCGCTCCTGAAAATCAGCAGGCAGCTAGAAGTGTCAGAGAAAAGAGAAGAGCGCGACGATATGTGTAGTAAATGAGTTGCTGCATCAACAGTTGGAGATATTTTATGAAGAAGGGTTTGCATGTAATACATATAATTATCACACTAAACACCTTATTCTATTCAGTGTAAATAGTTTCTTGGACATTACACACTCCATCCATTGCAAAAACTCCTTGGACTCTCATTGTAATCAGAAATACTTTCAGACTGTCCACATCAAAGGCATATTGCATGTCACACTGAGCACCAGGTCAAGATTATTTACTGTATCAACTGTACAATATCAGTTTGCCAGATTATTAGATTGTGCAATGATTGTGAACAATAGAAAATACTGAAAAATGAAATCTGAAGCATCAGAGAACTTCTGTGTTGGTTTTGGCTTGTATGTGTGTGCACATGATTTTTTCCTGATCTTTACCATAGACTGTATAAAAGATGGACGTAGCAACCGGCCCCGAAAAATGAAGCCAACCTGGAAGTTTTAAAAACCTGCAATATCAGTACGTCCACTAGCTGCTGGCTCCAAAAAGCCCTGGCTCTCACAGACTTGAATTGGAAAAGAAGTGATCACAGATCACAGATGCCGCATTCCTACAGCTCAGGATTGTTTTCTTATTAGTTTTCATAGTCAAATCCAGAGATCAGGTGGCCAATCTGAAAATAAATCAATGCTGAATTTTTAAAAAATCGTCAACATTCTGCGGGGCAAGGGGCGTGGCTGGCTTGATTGACAGTCGACAGCAACAATGCAGACAAATCGAGCAGAAGGCAGTAAATGTGGGCGGGCAGAGAGGGCCCGCCTCTCAATCCGTCTGACCAATCGCTGCTCCTATGGCTCCGCCCCCCTCCGACGATTTTTGCATCACTGGCTCCAAAAATCCAAGATGTCAACCAGGAAGTAGCAAAACCCTGGCTTCATTTTCTCCGTGCAGGAACCAACGGGTGACGTCATGGTAGCTACGTCCATCTTTTATACAGTCTATGATCTTTATTCAAAAATGGTGCTTGTAATATTTAGTACCAGCCAGTGTAGTCTGCATCATTTCATGTAGTCTGATGGGCCTGTTTGAAGATATGGCCTGTATCATACAGTAGATACATGAATGGAGCTCAGTATGGTGCTGCTACTCAGTCACGAGGGACTCTCCCAATCAATCGTCATTATAAAAGAGACATCTTTAATGTTTGGCAGGACACCTAGAACTGTGAACAAGGTCAGCATTTATGTTGCTCTTTGTTTTAGGAATTTTCATTCCAGGATGTTTTATAATTGTAAAACTTTCCCAGTTTCTACAAAAGCTATTTTGTTTTCGTGACACCATCCCATTGCAGAAGTAAACCTTGTGTGTTAGAAAGCGCAGGTATTTTGTGTACATGTTTGGCAAGCTGTTTGCATTCTAGTGACTTCTTTGAGTTCTCATATAAATACATCATGCTGAAAGAGGCAACCACATGGTGTGAATTGGTCCTCATTTTCAGACACATTTTCTGACACTTTTGTCGCAGGCTGTCTTCCATCACCAACACTCCAAACTGGCTACTGATGTCTTACAGTGTGAGCCAGGACCATAGTTTTGGCTTGATGACCAAAGATATTATTCTCAATTATGTTTTGAGGGAAACATATTTTATAAATAAAGGAGAGCTTCAAGGATGTTGTGAAAGAGTTGCATTTTAACCCAAACCATGCTATTTTCCCAACTTTACTGAGTCATTTTGGTGCCTAAACTTAAGCTTTTACTCAAGTTTGATATAAAACTGTCAATCAAAGCATTTTAATTAACCTTACCATGACTTTTGGTGCCTACACCTGAAAAACTGAAAACAAAGCTTAGATCTAAGAATAATGGTTCCAGATGCGACTCCCAGTCCTCTGTGTGAAAGTCCTGTTACTGACTTATGCCTCCATCACTCTTACGTTGACATGAAGCTCTTTCACAGTGGAAGCTACTGCATCACAGATGAAACATATGTTTGTTTCAAAATAAAATATTATTTCTTTCAAAACATAAATTAAAATTCTGTTTATTCGTATAGAAATGGAATCTTTGGGAGATAGGGTTGCCAGATTTGTACAGGTGGGCCTTAACATGAAAACCTTGTACTGCAAACTCACTCAAATAATAATTATTTTAAGAATATGTAGCTCATACTACAGTGTAGATTCTTAATGTAAATTACTGATATGCGGCATTTCATCCCCACTACCTGCAGTGTGTGTTGTCCCTTGCACTACAGTATGTGTGTTACAATACAATTACTACTGTAGGTGATTTCTGAGTGTTGCCCCTCAACATATACACACATGCATTTACCTGCCTTGACTGCAACAATTGCATTCACAACTACAGTAAAAAAAAAAAGTGTGTCATTTTCAGTGTCACAAACTTCAATAAAAGTAAAAGTAAAAAATAAAGTGATGAAGGCAAAATGAGTCTCCTTCTTTAGAAGAACAAGACTTTGTTCTATTTAGAGCATTTCTCAACAAAAAAGCCTCCATCTACTGTCTTTACCTCTCCATAGCAACAAGCAATAAGCTAACTGCAGCACATTATCAGCAGGAATCTACTCAGTTGTTCTTAATTGGCAATGAAAGGAGAGCTAAATATAACTTTGTAGATAGAGAAAAGACAAACACTACAAAAACATGAAAAAGGTATTTTATCATAACAGTTTTATTACAACTTGAACCAAACTAAGTGATACTTAATTGCTGTCCACACGTTTTTCATTTGGGCTTGTTTTAGACAAAAGCACAATTAGTTTTAATGTTGCATTCGGAAATTTGAGCCTAATCATTTTAGACTCTCTTGGTGACTGTTTTGCAGCAAAACAAACAACTACAGCACCTCAGTTGGCGCTGAAGAGCCAGTGCAATTCTCAAAATGCTGCAGCACCATTCATCAATATAGTTTCGATTAGCTCCCACCCACAGGACCAGCAGATTGGTGGACATACAGTGAGTCCATGTATAGCCTCTGACCCCCATTATGTTTGGCAGTGAGTCTGCAGAACAGTTTGGCACTCTATGATAGATCCTATACTGTTTACATTACAGCTGTGCATGCATTTATGTGCTCTGTGTATTGGTAGGGGGATATTTTATGAGCCTTACACAACCAAATGCAGGTTGCATTGATATTTCCATTTAGCCATATGGGCAAAATGTAGAAAGGCATAACCTCATGGACACATGCCAGCTTTAAAATCTACTCTTGTCACATGGGCGAGGCACAAGGCCTGGATGGCTGATGCAGCAGAAAGTGGCGCCAAGCTGGCCTAGTGTTAAAACACTCATCAATACCCACATGCATCTGTTCCCACAAGCAGCAGCAGGATAGTATGATGAGGCTGCAGTGTGTTCTGCATTTACATTTTGCCACGTACTGTAGTTTTACCTCCTCTAACAGTTACCTGTCCTTCACTGCTGTTCACAGTGTGCCTTGAAGTAGTTTCCATGCTGCTTTGTGCCTAATCATTGTCAAACAATTACTTGATTACTGAACCTGGTGCTTTATGATTACAATCTGGCTTAAGTGTGCACTGAGTAACTTCATGTGATTTTAGATCCCTGCCAAATGAATTCTATTTGAACAAATACACAAAGTGGTTAACACAGCACCTCATGCTGGTGATATTCTATGGAAAATAAAGCAGAAGTATTTAATTCTTAAATAAAAACTGTTGTTTGTATGATTGTATATGTCAAGACAGTAACTTTTTCAGTACATTTGTTCAACACAGCGCCACCAACTTTTTGAAATTTTGCTGCTTTCATCTCTCTTAGGTGAAGGTTATTTAGTTAAAAAAAACACATAGCTTGAATTTTTTCATCTCTTTCCTTCCTGCAGGGACCTACAGAACTAATCGTTCCACAAAGTCTTGTCTCTTATCTTTTCTGGCACACAAAGGGCAAGATGACCTTCCTGTTACAGGCGAGACAGCAAATTCTTCTCCCATCTTATGCCATGAGCTGCAAATTCAGTTTAGTGCTGCTTAAGACACCTGACTCACACCTTTTCTTCCCCACACACCTTTTTCAACAAAACTTTTCCTTTAACTCGGCTAATGTTAAATGAATGAATTATTGTTTTTCTCTTGTATGTACTTTTCTGGGTTCACATCAAATGCCAGTGCAAAAGAAGCCTGAAACTCACACGGTTCTTCCTCTTTGTTGCATGTGACTTTAGTGATTTTTTAAAAAAAAAATATTCTATTTAAACTAATAGAGATTAGACTGAAGCACCAACAGAACAGAAGAACAGGTAAAATGTGTTTTTAGAAAGGGTAAGGAGCAGTGGATTCAAGTGAAAATTGAGGATTCAAACCTGTAAAAGTAAATGCAGTACTTACCTCAGAGAGCTGGGCTCTGTAAAGAGATTTGTTGCACTGGAGAAGCTGTGCAGCCAGGTTACAGTCCTTCCTGTACAGGTCCTGTGGAAAACAACATGGCCACAATCAAAAAACATAACCGAGAAGGAAAAATCTAAAAAAAAAAAACACACACAAAAAAAAACACTTTTTTTTTTTTAAAGTTATGACTTTCCTTCTTCTCACACTTTTTAAGAAATGATCATCTGTACAAAACAGGAATAATTCCACAACATACAATGTACAACAGAAGTAAGTACAAACAATAACAAAAGTCAGTAAATTATAAAGAATGATGAGTCTGGACTGACAAACTAGTAATAATGAAACCTAATAGTAAAAAGGTTCTAAGGTACAGTATCGTACCGGGGTGAGTGCACACCCATGCAAAATCACTTAAATGTCAAATGATTCAAAATCGTATCACCTTAAAATAATTGCTTTCCTTATAAGTTAAACAGTAGTGTATTTGCTCATATAGAAAACCGAAAATTCACAGTTTAGATGTAATATATTAAAAATCGATTCCACATAGTAACCACTCAATACAACAAAAGGCAGCTCATCTTACTGAGAGTCCAATTTTTAATTTTTTTGTACTTTGTAAGTTCGACTTTGTTTCTGGTGACAGACCCAATCCCCCTCATCACTGAAGATAGGACATTTCTGCAGAAATGTTCTGCCATATTTTGGGGACTATTTTTTTTTCCAGCTGATCTTTGCTGGAGGGGTTGTGTTACTCTGCCTTTCTTTTTTAAATACCCAAAAGGTGTTCTATCAAATTTAAGTCAGGCATACTCGGTCAGGTCATAATTTTCACATTTTTCCATCTTTAGAAACTCTTGTGTGATTTTGGCAGTGTGCTTTGAATTTGTATCATGCTGAAATATTCCTCTTCCAACAAGTTTCTGCAGACTGTCATCCTGTCAGCCAGTGTTTTGGTATATCCACAGGCATTTATCGTGCTGTTTATAAATGTCATCACCCCAACTTTTGCACTCTTGCAGCCGCATGTCATTACGCTCCCACCTCCATGCTTCACTGTCAGGATTATGTATTCATGGTGGTAAAACCTGTTCAGATTTACACTAAACATGCTGGAGCCTATCTGAGCCAAACAAATTTATCTTTGTCTCATCTGAGCAAAAAATGTGCTCCTAATATTTATCCATCCTGTCATCCATTTTATTTACATCGCTGTCCTGGGGATCATGGGGGGGCTGGAGTCTATCCCAGCCAGCTTAGGCTGAAGGAAGGGGACACCCTGGACAGGTTGCCCGTCCCAATATTCTTGCCTTTTAGAAAAGCAGCTAAAAAGTCTCATGCCTGTGTTGTGTAACAGGCGTAACTTGTTTTACAAGAAGCAGTTATAGCAGTAATAGAGTACAGCAGGGTAAAGAGTTTGCTGTGTCCCCCAAGAGAGTGGAGTTAAGTGAATACTTTTTTGCTGAATCTCCCTTATTGCACAGTGTCCAGAGTGACTGGAGAATGCTACCATCCAAATCAGAATACATCTGTATTATCTAGCACTAGACCGCAAAGTGAAAAACAACATTCTGTACCATTTGCTTTGAAAAATGAACATTGAGAGGATGCTCAGTCTGAACAGTGTGATGTTCACTTGGCTCTTACTTACATTGTCCTCTTGTAGCTTCTCGATGGTTAGCTTTGCCTCCATCAGGTGGTTGTTAAGGACAATAATCTCTCTGCTCAGAGCTCGCTTTTCGTCATCGTGGTGCTGTGACTGACAACAACAGGAAAGTTTCAGAGATGACAAGCACAGAAAGAAGAAAACCCACCTTCAGTTTAAAAATGTCCATGTTTATTGTTATGTTTTATCAATAAATATATAATCTGGTATTTTGCTACTTTCTGTGCTTTTCTTGCAGAAAAAAAAAGTTACTAATAAACTTGAACATAATTAAGCACAACATTAAATAAATTTTAAATAAATTAAAAACAGCTTTCAAAAACCATTTTTCCCCATGTTTTTCCATCCAAATGATGATCTTGATGTATTTATAAATGCAAACAGCAAAGTGTACACCAGATCCAGTCTCTAAGTCTGGATACCGGATGGATTTAAAGACACAAAGGAGCTTCTGTAGCTGATTTTATTTTTCAGCCACTACAGATAATTGATCAGTAAACTGAGCTTCCACTGAACATATTTTCTTAATTTTTTTTGCATTTTGTGTGAAGTTTCATCCATCCATCCATCCATTATCTATACACCGCTTAATCCTCACTAGGGTCGTGGGGGGGCTGGAGTCTATCCCAGCTGACTTAGGGCGAAGGCAGGGGACACCCTGGACAGGTCACCAGTCCATCGCAGGGCCACACTTAGAGACAGACAACCAAGCACACTCACATTCACACGGACAATTTAGAATCACCAATTAACCTCAACATGTTTTTGGACTGTGTGGGAGGAAGCCGGAGAACCAGGAGAGAACCCACGCTGCACGGGGAGAACATGCAAACTCCACGCAGAAAGATTCCGGTGCCCCCACCGGGACACGAACCGGCAACCTTCTTGCTGCGAGGCAACAGTGCTACCAACTGCGCCACCCTGCAGCTGTAAAGTTTCAGTTAACTCATTATTGTTCTTAAAAGAAGAGGTCTGTCAGTTTCCATATCTGGCAATAAAATCTGGCCAAAGTCAGCTGTAATCAAAACATTTACTCATGGACAAAGTGTGAAAAAGTTCTTCCTCTTTGGAAAACAGTGTGAATTGAAGCACAGGCACTCAAAATACACCACTGTGTTTATCTGTCTTGTAATTACATTGTGTGTAGTTGTGCAGGGCCAAGGGGTCAGATGGGTTTGTGGCACCTCTGGAGTAAACAAGCTTTATGATTACAGAGAGACTTACTCAGCACCTCTCTCACCCTCAAGGAGGGTATACGTGAGCTGAATCAATAACAGCTGATGAGAACACTTCACGAGAAAAAAAGTAAATAAAAATCTGTGGGCCTTTATTCTGAAAATGACCAATTTTCTTTACACTAAAGGCTGCATGACCTTCAGCTCTTCATTATCTGTACGTGGCATCTCACACTGTAATCACGACGACGGCGACCGTGAGGATTATTATCTTGTGCTGTAACAAATCCATTCGATGAGCGTTTTCAGCTGTCTATTCAACAGCAAAGACACCTGATGGTCATACAGTGTTCTCAGGCGGACTAGTTAATTGTATCTTTCCACCGGCAAAAGCAATGTCTAACAAATGAAGTGAGATGCGGTGCACTGAGGAACAATAGGTTTGCTATCACTCTGCCATTGGAAGGAGGACAGCCAATTGTTATAAGCCATAATTAACGTCAGTGGTACCAACAGCAGGGCATTCATATTCAAACTGGCTCTCCAAGTGTTCTGTACCATCTCTGAACCCCCTGACTTGCTTACATGCTTCTCTTCCTTGTCTCCTGTCTGCAGTTACTTAAGTGTAAGCATGAGAAACAGTACGACTGAGTACGACATGCACTTACACAAACATACATTTGGACACTTACATTTCTGTGGATCTTTTCCTCCAGATCTTGGTTGATCCTCTGCAGTGCCGAGTAGCTGCTTTGTATTCTAAACGACACAATAAATGACACAGCTCACTTGTGGATAATAACTTACATATATAAAGCAGCAGCAGCCGGAGACCTCACCAAGATGAAAATAAACATACGGGCAGGTTTAGCAGTGTTCAAGTCACGGCAGAATCACATGCCACAGTTTTAGCTTATACCACTGACCTAACTCTTGTAATATGATCATGGAGCGAATGTTTTACTCTATTACTTGTGATCCAGAAGGCAGTAACACACAGTGTAGGAAACATTAAAGGTACTGGTGCAAAATAGTGGTAAGCACTCACTTCCTGTGGCGTTGGACCCACCCCAGTCCTGAAATAACTACAAAGGATCATAAGATGCACTAAACAAACACACAAATGCAGATGATGTTCTTTTCTAACTTCAATAAAAAAAATTTAACTCTATTTGATTTTTTTTATCCTTGTTAGAAAAAGTGTTGCATTTAATCAACGGTGTACAAACACATTTTCAACCAATGAGTTCATCCACAGCCTTGTCCAGTGTGGCTTTAACGGACAACGATCAGAGACAGTGATCAGTAAACAGACACTCCTGAGACCAGTGACTAGTTCTAAAAACACCCCCCAAATATCCATCAACTTCTCTGAGGCCTTCAGAAGGCGGGGGGACAACATTCAACAAGGAGCATAGACAACCTCACTAATTCTGTGCATCTTCGATGTGTGACACTAAACAGTGTAAATGTTGGACTCAGTGACTCCTGATTTCTGATCCCACTGTCCATTTACTCATTACCATTATCATTGCCAATATAGTCATACTTGGATGTTTTATGACAGCCACTCTCCTGTAGAGATGCTGTGTGTTTGAACAACAAACACTTATTGCTCATTGTTAAAAAGAATTTTAAAAAAACATTCCATGTTGTGGTAATATTTGTATTCAAATGTCTCCTAAGCCATCGTCATGTGGAAAAGCACTTTCCCGTGCATATAGAGGATGTTACAGTGTTATGGATTACACAGAATTTGCCAGTCTCTCTCTACAACTTGTATAACTGACTGTTGCATTTTGACCGAATAAATTCCACTAACTTGGACTGAAAGACCCTAATTGGATGATGCACCGCTGTTTTGCATATAAGACTAAGATTGGCTTCATAAAATCACCAACCAGTGTCACTTAAATATTAAATCCAGTCAATTTTAATGCAGTTATATTTATTTTGGTCAAAGCCAAACAATGTTGAACAATAGGACTTCACACCAATTGAACTATTATGGCCTGTCCAAATTTAAGAATCATATGCAACAAGAGTCAGTCTCCCTTTACTCGTGACATTAATTTATTTTATTTTTTTAATACTTTGTGTTTCTGTTGTCATAAGCAGATGATTTTTCAGCTGCTCTCTGCAGGAGAGGTCACATTGCTCTAACTTCCACCTTTAAATGCTTCACAGGTGGTCTTTTGGATTCATTCACTTGTGCAGGCCATAATTTTCACATTTTTTGATTTTAAATACTCTTGTGTGATTGTTGCAGCATTTTGGATCATTGTCATGTTTGACAGTTCATTTCCTACCAAGCTTCTTAAGAACGGAGCTCATCTTTTGATTCAATATTTGAGTACAGAACCATTCAAAGTGCCTTCTGTAAAAGCTATCCCCCTGCATATTCTTTATTCATGCTGCTCCATATTAGCACACTTGGCCTGGTTCACATCAAACATGCTGGACCAGGTCTGATCCAAACAAATTTATTTTGGTTTCATCTGACCAAAGAATGTGCTGCCAGCGTTCCTCTGGCTTCGCTTCATGTTGTTTTGGAAAAGTTGAATGTTGGACCCTGTCTGTTGAGGTTGACGTTATGCAATGTCCTGAACAAAGTCTGAGCAGTGAGTGAAACATCAGTTCCCCAGATAATCCTTGATCCAAGTCATCCACTGCACTTCTGTTGTTGGATGTGTAGCTCTTTTTTTTTTCTTTTTTTTTTTTTTTAAATCTCCTAGCTACAGTTGTAACTATACTTATCAACAGCCTAATGGTGGACATAAACTGATAATCTTGTACCCACTCCTATCTTTATGAAGTTCTTAACTGTAGCTTGGATATACATAAGATCAAGTACCCTACACCTCAACTTAAAATAACACAATTGTGAGGCAACACAAGTTTGAACTATTACACTTTTAGTTATATTGCACACAGGGTGTGCTCAGCTTTACCATATACTGTTCATCAGTCTGCACAGTGAAGCAACAACATGCAGTGCAGTGGGATTTTTAAGGTGTCCCACAAAGTGCCATTCTTCACCATAACTATTATGAAATGCCACATGTAATACGTGTTGTTTCACTCACTCTTGTAGTAACGTTTTTATGCAAACTACATGATCTTGGCTGTGCTGCACTTCAAGCAATGTCATGATTACACTTTTTTTTTTTTTTTTTAGTAATGACTCCACACTCCTAAACTTTTACCAAATGCTGACAAACCATTTTCTCATAAGATACCATATAGCCAAGACCCAATACTCCCTCCTTATTGGTATTCATACACTGACAGTATTGGTAAGGAAATTGAATTTGGCTAGGAAAACTAGAAATTTATAATCTGATTGCAATTATAACAAAATCAACATTTCTCTTAGATGACACGAAAATCCATCCTGCCCAAGCGCAATCATTGAGATATTATTTATTTAGTATTTAGTTAATCATTATGCCTTGAATTTCATTAAGAAATGTGCATTTTATGCAATTAAAAAATACAACTGGTCCTCATTTCCAGCAAGAGAATATTGACACATTGTTTTTAATTTGAGCTATGGGGGTTTCCTCCTAAAACTTCCACAGAAACACAGTTTAAATGTCATACGAACTCGAGAGTGGGAAAAATTTTGTCATGTTTTTGATTGTTAATAAGAATGTTTTTGTTTTTTACTGTGTGACAGAACTATTTTAGTGTGATTTCTCCTCACTGCTCATGTCTTACTTACAACACCCAGGTAAGAAAAGAAGGAAAAGATGAATGTTAAGTTGTAAAAAAAAAAAAACAACAACAACAAAAAACCAGTGTCATCAAACGATTCCCTATAGACTTTTCTTTATATCCTGAGTTGATATCAAGCCAAAGTGCTTTATAATAGTGAAATAAGATGAATGTCACAGTTTAGCTAATACGTTTAAATGCTGAACCTACAATATTATTTATTATGCTAAGTGAAGTGCCTAAGGCAGGTACTAAGGTGAAGTACCTACAATAGTATTTACTATACCAAATTAAATAACTAATTTAAGCATGAAGGCCCTACAAAATTATACTTGTAAACTAAAAACCCAAAGAATCATGAGATGTCCTGTAGGTGTTGTACAGTGTAGCCTACCTGCGCAGTTTATCAGTAAACTTGTCCAGCTCCTCCTGTGCTCGGCGCAGCTCTGTCTCCAGGTACTGCCGAGTGGAGTCAAACTCGCTCTGTAGCAACTCCAGCTTGTGTGTTGTGTAGGAAAGCCTTTTCCGTAAGTCCTCCTTCTGCTCCAGCAATGAGCTACACACACACACACACACACACAATAGATGACTGGGTTCAGGGAATATGGTTGAGGACACAAGCTTGTACCATGTCTGTGATTATCTAAATGGACTTGGAGGAGTCAACATATCTTTGTGACCCCTGGATGGCCATGCAGCTGTGATGAGAACATCATGACAGGATGCTAAACAAAAAAAACCTTGGTTGGAGAAACGCTTTGTATGAAGAAAATATGGGACAAAAACCCAGGTCTCCACTTACAAATCCAGGCAGGGGTAAGCCAAAATACAGACATTTTTTTTTAAAGTTCTGTAGCACATCACAGAACCCAATCACCAGTGAGATTGGTCCCACTAAAAAAGAGGGTGTAATTTGTGATGAAATATGAGCCAATGAACTCTAATATATCACATGAATAGACCCTGAAGGCTCACATTTACGAAACAGCGATATCCCCCACATGTAATTCAGCGAGACAGCACAATGATGGCTATTTTTAGAGTATGTGCATTACCTGGGCTTCAGTCTAATAAAAGGCCAAGTGTGAGTGGGAAAAGAGGAAATGTCTGCTGCTGTGATGGATCTGAATGTGCACGGCTGGGCTTAATGGACCTTGTATTGACAGACAGATGGAGGAAGGAGGGTAATGAGTATCTGCAGCCGGATAACAGAAAGCCAGAGTAGATGGAGATGTGGTCACGTCGCTCTTTTCATTTCTTCATTTTGTCTCTCTTTTAATGAGATTATAGATACAGAGGGTAGGGGCTGAGAGAGGCAGAAAAAAAAATCAGGGACAGGTTCCTTTCACTGAGCTTTTCAGATCACTAAGTCGAGGTATTTCCCAGCTTCCATCTTACTAGCATGCATGATAATGTTTTATTAGTCATGAAAACTGGATGAGGTCAGAACTTTAGTTGTGTAGACTAAGTATAAAGAGGTTTGTGGTTCATGGAGACAGAGTTTCTCTGGTGGCAAAAAGTATTCCTACTGAAATATTGTTCCACATGACTTAATTTGTCTTATATGTACATTTTCTCATAATTGTTCCATCATAGTGGTTAAAGTAGAGGTGTTCAGTGTATGTACACATTAGGCTTCAACTAGTTACTGAAAACTATTTGAATTGAGCTAAATAAAGTGATGGATATCTAAAAAGTGATTCATGAATTCCACCTTTGTAAAGTCCAGTTAAATTTAGGCAACTACTAGGGATAGACCAATTATCAGGGGCCGATATTTGATAGTTTTCTTTTTATCAGCATTGTTCTCATTAACCGATTAAACCGAAATTAAACACACTACTTTGATGCAGCTGCCTCTATCTGTCTGTAATCAGAAATGTCGCTCCAGCAGAGGCACAACCTACAAAAACTGAAAAAGAAACACAAGCCATTGCCACAAACCAGGAAATGTACTGCTGTCCCAGGGGTCAAAGCTAAGCTAACAACTGGAGGCTAAGTTAGAAGGCAGCCACAAATCACCCTCAAAGAGAGTCTGGAAAACAATCATTAATAATGCTTTAGGATATGGACTTAAGTGGCTATTGCAAGTGACAAAAAACAGAAGAACAGTGGATGGACTTGCAAGAGACAAACTGATCAATCTCATATCAATCGATCGATCAGCAAACAGAGGAGAACGTCTTACCATCCCACAATGTTCTGATGTCTTGATTCCTACTGCTAGGAGCTGACTTGATAATGAAGAAGTCTAGTTGTGAATGTCAGGTTCCTGCTATTAAATGCTGTTAAAGTATAAAAATTAAACTGCATCGGTTCAAAAATATTGGTTATTTGTCTTTCTTCATGATCAATAATTGGCATCGGTATCGGCCCTGCGAAAAACCAATATCGGTTGATCCCCAGCACCTATTTACTTCAGCTTTAATTACTTGCTTAGAGTTTCTGAAAGGTCAGCTATGTGATTAAGAGAAACTAAAGTCATTGTTTATGCTAGATGGGATGTGGAACGCATGTGCATAGGCGCTGAAGCCGCCACAATCTTGAATTTATTTGGTCATTTCAGTTTGGAGCAATGAATTCTTCAACCGGAAGAACTGTATTTTGTACTTATCATCTGAATAAAATCCATAGGAGTGTGAAAACAACTCTGTTAGGTTTAGTGAAGGGTTTGTGAGTGTCCTTTGCTGTCGTTATAATCATAAAAACATGGTTAAACGAAACATTGAATACTGGTTTGAAACAGGACACAAGCAGCCATGTCCCGTCTAAGTCCAAAGTTTTGTCAACCCATCAATCCACTCTGTCCTGCTCTTCACACTGATTTTGTGGTGCTTTTGCATATGTCACCTCACTTCCTTCTCGTCATCCGTCTTAGTTGTTATTGCCAACAGAGGGCATAGTCACAATTCCAGGTTGTAATTACTGACTGAATATAAAAAGTCACTATGACATCGCCCAATGATTTGTGGACTACTGTTGTGATGGTACTGCCTCCATCTTGGTCTTTTGAAAATGAGCATTACAAGTAAGCTGACTGCAGAACTCATGGAAACTACTTTAGGTGATACAATAAACAACACCCTGCTTTATTGCATATTTTACTGTAATTGAGACAATAAGTTACAAAATAAATAACACGCTGTTTTCAAAAAGCCTTAAAACTACCAATCAAGAGACTAAACTCATAGTAAAACTGTTAGTCTGACTTACCAAATGTAGACTTCTGGTTTAAGCCTGCCATTTCTGTTAGTCATTATTATTCAGTCATTATTTATATTGGTAATGAAACCTGTGTTTTCTCTACTTTGCTAGTTAAACATTTCTGCCACACACTTTCATTGACATTAATACTGCTACTTTTGCTTCATGGTCATTATTTGAAGTTCTGCAACCCTTTGGCTTTTAAAAGAAGTCATGAGTGTGGAGCATTGAAATTTATACCAATTGGCATTTCCTTTTTGGCAGAGCAACATGTTGAAAGGAGTAATGGTTATGCAAAATCACAGTTCTTCCAGTAGCTAGTTAAGCTAACTTTTACATTAGCGACTTGACCCTGCACTTTCAAAGAAGCCATTCTAGCATCATGTTGAGATAACTTGTTCATGAATGAAAAATAAAAGCCTTTTAAAACATGTCCTCAGAGTTTGACCTTAATTCTTGTCATGGGAACTAGCTTGTGCTTCTTAAAAAAATCTGTCCTCCTGGATTATTTTTTTTTTTTACTTGACCAATTGAAGTGTATTTGCCTCCAGCACAGCTCTGCATCAAGAAATGTCCAGTCTCTATAGACAAACCTCAGACTGGATCTGAAAAATCATTTATGTTAGTGATTGCCACAATTTTCACGGAAAGCTGCCGCATCTACATTTATTACCTACATCTACATCTATGTCTACAATTATGTCAGTAAGTTAAAAAAAATACCTGCCCACAGACTGATTCAATGTCTCAAGTGACTGGATGGCATTTCAGATCTGCATTACCCAGCAGCCCCCACCTCCTCACCTCCTGCTTCTTTTTGATTGGCAGGCATTAGCAAGGGAATACAGGTGTTTGTTGTTTGGTAGAGGATGGGTTTACGTGAAGTAGCTCCAGGGATAAAATATCCCCCATTAGTGACCTCCTCTGTGAACAGGAGCTGAGTCAGATGTAATGAGTGTTTTCATTCCGATGAGATGAGATGACGAGGCAACATGACTTCTGGGCTTGGAGAGGCGGGATGAGGCTGCTTTAGCACCTCTGGACGGCAAGAAGAGACACCTCGTGGGTGGATGAGCGGACAAACAGATAAAAATGAGGATGAATGGAAAGATGCCGTCAGAGAGATTTACTCTTACCTCTTTTTCGGGTGTTTGCCACCATTTCGGGGGACTTTTAAGGCGGTTTTGCCAATGTATATCTTTTTCATGGTTTGTCTGTGTTCCTTCCCTCTCATGTGTTTATAGGGCTTGACCACAGGGAGCCGGCATGTATGTTAGTTTCCCAAAGGAGACCAGCTAAGTCTGGCCTGCAGAATTACTGAGTGCTCTATCTGTGTTGACCCTGCCAAACAAAGCAAACAGACAGGTTGGCAACTATTAGTAACTACGGCTCAAGCAGGGATCCTGGTTGAAGGACAAAGTCGATATTAAAAATGTTGGACCAACGTTGTTGGCGAAGTGCCAACATTTTGCAATCATAGTCATTTTAATGGCAAATATCCCCATAGTTTTGTCCTTGGCAAGAAAAGGAAAGCTTAAACAATATTACACTCTGCGCTAAATCCAGAAAAAATGATCATTTTGAAGGCTAATATCTTTTAAAAGTTATAATTCACCCTCTTTAGTGAAGGTTTCGGGCTATTTCTTTTGTTTATTTTGTTTTCCACTGATGCCTGCAATGAAACAGTGCAAGTGAAAATAAAAATCTATCTAAGATATCAGTGCTAAATGTCAGGTTGAAAGGTTTCTTTTAGTCATCCTGCAAAGTTCCGTTACCATGTGAGGAGAATTCATTGAAGGAGAGGAAATATACAGTGCATTTCAGGGTATGAAACTTTGTGAAATTTATATTGGTTACATGAGAGGTCCTGATAAATATTCATACTTCTCTATTAAATGTTAGTTTCCCACCCAGTGTAAATAACGTGAGTGGAAACATGGATTCGAATTAGAAGTATTTCTCTGTAACTATAAATATGAAAGTCTTTATTGTGTGATTCTAAACATTAATCAGCCTCATCACGACTGTGTGGGTTTGATCCGATTTTGACAGCAGTCTAGAACATAAGCAAACAATGATGCAGCCGTCTTCACAAAGGCACTTAAATGTTGTTCAATTCCTGATTGTTCACATACTTATGATATCATTCTTCTCACCTAAGTCATACCCACTTCAAATGAGAGAAAGGGGATTTTACAGAAAATACATCATATTTGTAGGTTTGATAAACTGCATTTTGGTCCTTGTGGGACACGAACCTGCTTAATGTCACTGATAGTGGATGAAAGTCCTTTGTGACAGGCTGATATCAGAATAATCAGTTAAAACAAACATCTCTTGCAGATCCAACAT